GTAGTACTAGATAGTGCCGAATACGTGCCGATGTGACAACTAAACAATGTAGGAAAATAAAAGCAGTAACAACATGAAAGCGTGTCACACGTGTAGCCTGGGTTTGAACAGGACCCAGCTTATATATATATATGCCTGAGCGGAAAACCGTGCTCGGTAAAACAAAGAAAATATCACAGTTCGAGTCAGAGTTGATGGGGAAGAAAATATGAACGGAAAACGTCCTCGTGGATTGCTCCTTTTCTTCGTACAATCATATTTGAAGAGGACCCAACTTATTTACACACGTGAGCGGAAAACCGTGCTCAGTAAAACAAATAATTATCATACTTAGAGTCAGAGTTGATTGTGAAGTAGATGTAAATGGGTGAACGTCTTAAAGGGTCGCGCCCTTTCTTCGTACAATTATCATCACTACAAACTGGACCGAGCTGATGCAGAACTGTACCGATCCTGGGCCGCACTATATTTGTTTAGAAAGTTCGTATTGATAGTTTTCAATGATTTCTGCACATTTTCCATGTATTTCTAACTTCCTTCAAGGAAGTGTCAATAATGAAATCCGGTTTTGCAGAGCATGAACTGTTTGTTTATATGTGCCAATAAATTCGGCATCGCTGAGCCACATTTCGTTTTTCTTCGTCCAACTTGGCTGGTGTACTAATCATGAGTGCGGCGCCGATGCCGATCAAGTTTCAGGAGCATTTGCAGGTAAAGTAATAGAATTCGTTTTTTAATTTGTTTCTAAGCTGGTAAATGTCGGTATTCAGCCGAATAACATAGGGTTTAGTACCCTTACGATGGAGTCGGATAAGTTCATCTGCGTCCGCGAAAAAACCGGTGAAACATCCCAAGTGGTCATCATTGATATGAATGATCCCATGAACCCTACTAGGCGCCCTATAACTGCGGACTCCATCATCATGAATCCGGTCAGTAAGGTGATGGCGCTGAAGGCTGGAAAAGTTCTGCAAATATTCAACATCGAGTTGAAAAGCAAAATGAAGTCTCATACCATGACAGAAGACGTTGTATTTTGGAAGTGGATTTCAGTGAATACTATAGCTCTTGTTACGGCCACATCCGTTTACCATTGGCCAATGGATGGTATGTTGAGGTTTTCACTTCCCTCACCTTCCCTTTAGGCGACAGCAGCCCAACAAAAATGTTTGACAGGCATTCTTCATTGGGTGCGAACTGTCAAATAATCAACTATCGTTGCGATGCCAACCAGAAGTGGTTACTGTTGGTAAGAATTGCTTCTCAGGACAAACGAGTGGTGGGGTACATGCAGCTCTACAGTGTTGAAAAACGAGTTAGTCAACCCATCGAAGGACATGCGGCTGCCTTCGCGCAGTTCAAGCCCGAGGGTAGTTCCACACAAACTACCCTCTTCTGTTTTGCCTCTCGAAATGCACAGGGATGCAAGCTGCACATCATAGATGTGGGCCAGCCGCCCTCCGGCGGTCAGCCTTCAACTAAAAAGGCGATTGATGTTTACTTTCCTCCGGAGGCTCAAAATGATTTCCCAGTGGCGATGCAGACTTCTCCGAAGTACGATGTGATAAACCTGATCACCGAGAACGGTTACCTTCACGTATACGATTTGGAAAGTGGCATCTGCATTTATATGAGCCGAATTAGCAGCGAGACAATTTTCGTCACTGCGTCTCACAAATCGTCGGGTGGTATTATCGGAGTGAATAGAAAAGGACAAGTGTTATCTGTAACCATCGATGATGAGACTGTGGTCAATTACATTATGACTACACTTGACAATTCTGCGCTTGGACTGCGTATTGCAGCGAGATGCAACCTACCCGGGGCAGAGGATCTGTTTATTTGAAAGTTTCAAGCGCTGTTCCAAGCTGGTCAATACAGTGAGCCTTCTAAAATTGCTGCCAACGCGCCGAAAGGAATCCTCTGTACACCGCAAACAATCCAAAGGTTTCAACAGGTTGCCACCGCTCCCGGTCAAACTTCAGCATTGCTCCAGTACTTCAGCAACTTGCTGGAACAGGGACAGCTTAATAAATTTGAAAGTCTCGAACTCTGCCGCCCCGTGCTGTATCAAGGAAGAAAGCAGTTGCTCGAGAAATGGCTTAAAGAAGAGAAACTGGAATGTTCCGAGGAGTTGGGG